CCCCACCCCCACACCCGGCCCACCCACACACACACACACACACACACACACACACACACACGCTCAATACTCTCATACATACACATATACTGATACTCATATACATACAAATAAATGTGTTTATATACATATATAAAGGATATATGGATATCCTTTAATTAATAAATACATCTACAAATAGTGGGTGAGATATCTCAGTGGAAAAGAACTTGCCTAGCATGTGTGAAGATTTGAATTCAATCTCCGTCACCCACAAAAGGAAAAAAAAACACTTTACAGACAAACTATTTGAACATGAAAACACACACACACACACACACACTAAGATTTTTGTTTACTTTGAGACAGAATTTCTAGCTTAAGCTGGAACACTACATAGGAGGCTATGTAGCCAACAATGACCTTGATCTCCTGACTGTCCTGTCTCCACCTCCTAAGTGCTGGGAGCCCAGGTATGTGTTGCTACCCCCAGCTTATGTAGTGCTGGGGACTGAACCCAGAGCCTCCAGCTTTGGAGGCAAACACTGTCAACTTAGCTACATCACCAGCTCTAAAAGTTGTTTCATTTCATCTAAGTGATAACAAGGAAAGATTTAGAGTATAGTTCTAGTTTCCCTGATACTGACTCAAGATTAAGAACAAAGCCACAACCAAAACCAAAAGTTAAGACTAACAAAAATGGCAAAGCAGCAGAGAGCCCCAGCTTCCCCACTTGCATGTTCTCTGCTCAGATCTGCTCCCTACCTCAGGGGTCGGTGCAGCATAGGCAGCATAGGGGGGCGGCGAGGCGGCCACGGCAGTCTCTTCAGACAGTATTGCTGAGCCAACATAAGCCTGTGTGAGACAAGAGAGCTAGGATCAAAAGCACATTTACTCAGCAAACGAAAGATCAACAGGCTTCAGCAATCTGAGAAGCAAGGGCCTTTTCTGCTGGTCCAGGGGCAGCTTCCGGCCTCACTAAAACACCACCTTGCAGCAGCAAGGTGGCCAGTCCTGGCTTAGCCTCCTGCCAAGGTGGAGCAAGCGCTCCTGGCCTAGGAAGATGCCAGGAGCTTCACTGTCCAATGCCATTTAGACCAACAGTCACCTCTCCTATCAGTACATCTGATCACAATCAGAAGTGCACCATGAGCAGGCTCTTCCTGTTGTTCAAAACGTACGCTCCAGTGAAAAGAAAAAAATAATAGCTCTTTTTAAAAAATCCACACAAAGAATCGCACTGAGAATTTGCTGACTATATGGACCAGTAATACTCATTTCATTGGGGGCGGGGGGATGTTCACCAAAGAAGACAACTAGAGTCTGCTGTGAGCTTAGAGGAAAGGTATCTCAGGCTGAAGGAGCAGAGGACCGAGGTTTGTGACTATTTGCATCTGTACAATTGTTCTGTAAGTCTTATCTACTTTCTCTTCTTCCTTCAAAGATACTGAAAAAAAAAAAATAGAAGCCCCATCTAAGAATGAAAATGTTGACCACAAAGGTCTTGGGCACAAGGAGGTTCTGAGAGGATTACAACAGGGTTTATGGTTTCTGTATCTCCTGAGGTCAGAAATAGGATTAGGGACAAGAACAAGAAGGTTTGGGTTTCATAAGAGGCTGAGATCTTATGGATAAAGTGGGCACCATAGTTCTCTTTGAATCTTTACTTCAAAATACAGCAGAAACCCGGAAAAAGGTGACCAACAGCAGGAACTGCCACAGCAGGAGGGTGTTGTCTCGGCTACTTTCTCACTACTTTGACAAAATAACCAAATGAGAACAACTCAGAGGAGAAAGAGATTGTTCTGGTTTCCAGTTCTAGAGGGAGACAGTCCATCACAGAGGAGGAAAGCATGACAGCAGGCAGGGAGGACATATATAACAATCAGGAAGCAGCTGGTCACACTGAATCCTGCATCAGGACTGGATAGGAAGTGAAGACAGGCTCAAGGCCAGAGCCCCCCCCCCCCCCCCCCCCCCAGGTTCCAGAAGATCCCAGATGGGGTAGATGTCGGAGTGGGCCAACACATAACCCTGGCTCTGGATCTGGGCAGCTACAGGGTTGGTTAGCCCACCAGCTCTCCCCTCTTCA